GCCCCAGAAGAAGGGCTGCCGAAGGCTCCCAGAAGTGAGAAGGGACGCTGCCTGGAGGGACGAGGCCCTGGGAAAGGTCATCCCTCTTGGTAAAGCAGGAGAGCGAGCGAGTCTCCACAAGACGGAGTCACAGGGTCGCTACGACACTGGGCTCAAACATACCAACTGTGAGGCAGGTAAGGACTGGACGTGTGTCCTTCGATGGTCCGCAGGGTCACTATGAATCAGAAGTGATGGCTCCTAACTACATTGTACGTGTGTGTACTTCCATTCATGTTGAACAAAGCACTACACACACACAGGAGACCCTTCATAACCAGAGGGAGGAAAATGGAATAGGAATAGGTGAATGAAGGTATTCTTAGGATTTTCGCAACACGTGGTAACATTCTACAGGCTGGTTCCACGGGTGAACGTGAGGGTGTCCGGGCCTCCGATGTGCACCACAGGAAAGATCAGGCAGCACCTGGGTGGGCTGCTCAACTCTCCGTTACACCGCCTCCACCCTCACCATCTCCCAGAGGCCTCCTGGTCTGACCAGGCCCCATGATCCAGCCTGTACTTAGACTCTGGCCAATGGAGGGAAGGCAAGGAGGGTGAAGAGCTTAGGCACGTCATGGGTGTTGCCAGTTTCCCAGGGTGGTGTGTGCCCACCCACTCGCCCATGACATCACTGATGCCTTTCTCAGGAGTTCTGTGAGGACAGCAGTGGAGGCAGGGCCTCTGCCATGCCCTGCAGCACCCTGGCACCGTCCCAGCACGCACCACACCCATCTATCACGAAGGAATCCCGGTGGCCCAGTGCATTAAAGCAGCAGGTTGCTGACCAAGAGGCCAGCAGTTCAAACCCACCAGCTTCTCTGTCGGAGGAAGCTGAGGCTGCCTCTAAGGAAGCCCGTAGGGCAGATCCCGTCCTGCTGCAATCAGCTCAATGGAGTGGGTCGCATCTTCACAGTACATGTAACGAGTGTTGGCCTTGGTCTCCAGACAGTAACTGATGAACGGCTCCTGGGGGAGTGGCAGGGGAAGCTGGGGGGCGGTGGGGGGCTAATAACGATGAGGACAAGAATGAAGAAAATGTTCTACAATGGACTGTGGCGATGGCGGTACAACCCTTCTTAATGCGATTAAACTACTGAATTGAATGTGAACTAAATGCTAATGAAACTGCTGGGGGAAAGTTGGCCATTTGAGGCACCTCAGCCGTACAACTGATCAACAGCTGTCACCGCACACTACGACACCACTCTCCCTTTCCAATGTCCCGTCCTGGCTGTCACAGGATGGATCCGCGCAACCGTGGGCTCCGTGTCTGGTGTATTCCCCTCGAATACCACATTCAAGGCTCGTCCATCTGCGGTATTATGGTGAAGGCTGAGTCATAGTTCATGCGTGGACCCCAGCACGCCTCCTGCAGTCCCTCTATGGGCCAGAATGAAGTTTAAAACGTGCAAGTTCAGGGAACCAGAGAGCACCCTGTGGCTAAATAACAGATTAGCTTGAAAAAGAATCAGTATCATCGCCTAGGACAGTGGTTCTCAACCTTCCTAATGCCGAGACCCTTTAATACCGTTCCTCATGTTGTGGTACCCCCTACCACATTATTTTCGTTGCTACGTCATCACTGTCATTTTGCTACTGTGATGAATCGGGCAACCCCTGTGAAAGGATCATTTGATCTCCAAAGGGTCGGGACCCACGGGTTGAGAATCGTTGGCCTAGGAGCACTGTGCTGTTGGGGAAAAAAAAAACACCTGTGAAGAGTCAGCAGCCAGCCATTGTTCCAAACGGAGACGAGAGTGCTCGACGGGCAGGGAGACTAAGGAGTGCATGCAGAACCTGCGGATGGGAACGCGCGCCTTCTTTTTGGCAGGCGGGCCCACGGCGGCGTGCGTGCTGTCGGAAAAGTGCCAATGGCCCACATGCACTCACAGCGGCCATTCCTTCGCAGGGTCACGCCCCTCAGGTGGGCCTGGGGCCCACACGGCCGGTGCTTTGTACATCTCCCAGTGCAGACGGCTCCCCCCGCCCCCTCCTCCCCCCACGCCCAGGGCACACACTGAGGCTACAAGGGGCATCCGTGGACCCAGAAATGACAAGTCACACTGCCCCCCACACACACACACACACACACAACCAGGCTGGGAAATAAGCCCCTTCCCCCAATGGGCAGTGGGGGCTCTGGGTTCCACTGTGACCACCCCCGGATGGCCCTGGAATGATAACCCAGAAAGCCGGATCCCCTGAATGCCCTGGGGGAGAACATGGGGTCATGTGTGGTCTCCCTGCCTCAGTCTGCCACTGTTTACAAGCAAACCTCTCAGTGGGAATGAGTTTCTCACCTGCAGGGCCGCAAAGGCCAAGACCACTGGGGCGAGAAGATGGGGTAGAGACTGGGGTTCTGTCTCCTTTAGCACGTCTGAAGTTCGGTGTCACGCTACTCCACTAGGGTGAAGCTGCATCAGCTCCTCACACTCTAGGGTGAATTAGGTTGCTACCTAACTCGGCATGGCAGATGCGAAGGGCTGAGACTGAGGATGTGAGCAGGAGGATGGCGATAACTGGAGAATCTCACCTTCTCAGAGAATGGAGATCCTCTGCAAATTACGTGTTCTTGACCCACCTGCCTACCCACCCTTACTCTGAAGGAGCGGGGACCCCCAGCTCGGGTCAGGTCTACAGCATCTGTGCCCCCACTCTCCTCCCCGCCCGGCCTCAACAAAGACCAAACCAGCAATCAGCCCCAGTGCACATTGAGCCATTTTTTATGTTCAAAAGCTTTGTACAAAAACAACACAGACACAAAGGCATCCTCACAACATCCCTGTGAGGTAGACAAGTACTAGCCATCCATTTCGCAGATGGGAAACTGAAGCAGAGAGGGGCAGTGACCTGCCATGGGGCCCAGCACACTGGAAAGCTGAGACTAATGGCGAGAAAACTTAAGAACCTGTCCACTCACACCGACTCCCCAGGTCCTCCTGGAGACCATGTCTCTGAGACCCACACCTGTTTAACACACCCAAACCTGGCCACGGCGAGTCTGAAAAAGGTCATGCATACACAGTAGTTTTACAAAACAGATTTGGCCAAGATTGGTCAGATATTGCCCAAGCATTGGTTGATGTGAACAACTTCTGCCCTCTCAAACACCTCCGTTTCTCTGCAGACACATGCCCCGTTGGCTCTGTGGGCCAGGCGACATAGGCAGCCTGCCACTCAACTCTTGTATTTCAGCTGGCACCAACCCTTGCCAAGCTTCATGGGGGTGGCCGCAGTTGCTCACTGCTTGGTGAGCACAGCACCACAGCCTGGCCCTGTGGCCGCTCCCCCTGGAGGCAGCTCAGTGGTTCTCCCTCCTGCCATCCCGCGCCCACCCTCACCCTCCATCTTCCACTCAAAGCCACCCGTCAACACCTCGGCAATCTTTGGGGCTGCGGTGGATGTGGCCTGACACCAGTCTGGCCTGTAGGGACAGGGCGGAGGGGCAGGCAACCCTGCAGTCGGAGACTCTGGCTTTGCAGCACCTGCTACACAGACGCCCAGGCAAACTGGGCAGGTGTCTTTACCAGAGCACCCCCATCTGCCTCTGGACATCCTTTCCTGCCCCATGTTTCCAGCTCCCCCAGGGAACCTCTCTGGTCCTGCCCATCCCGGCAGGGAAAGGGAGGTGGGGAGGAAGGAGAAGACGCAAAGGCCTTAAAGGCCAGCCCCATTAGGCCACACAACTGTCCATCCAGAAGTCTCCAGGTCGCAAACTAAGCAAGAACTGAGTGAAGCCGCCTTTCCAGTAACCCAGCGGGATGCAGAGGGGAGAGGGGGAGGCAGGAGAGAGAAAGGAGCCTTTGACAGATCGGCACCCAGTCTGGGGGTGAGGGGAACAGGATTGAACGGAAGTGTAGGGTAACTCTACTGGGCCACACATGCAGTGAGCCCCCGGGAGGCCTGGTGCCCAGCCATCTGTGGGGTGTATGGACCTGGCCTGCCTGGAGGACCACCCATGCGTCCCTCCTGGAATGACTGTGTGGGAGCAAAAGCCCCTACTAAAAGCTCTTTCAAAAAAGGGGTCCCAACCCTTCCCCGCTTTCTCTCCGGGAAGCTGGGAAGTCTCGTCCTCAAGTCCCGGCCCCCTTGGGCTCACTCCTGGGAGAAGAAGCCCCCAGGCTCTTGGCAAGCGCGTGTGGGGGCTTGTGAGGGGCGGGGAGGCGCCTCCTACAGGGAGTCTGCGGAGTGGGGCTCGGGCCCTCGGCTCCATTCCTGCCACCGGTAACGTAGCCTCGATAAGGGCTGGCCCGCAGTGTCCTCCAGCTCAGGGAAGCCCAGCTGGTTAAGGATCTCATACACGCCAGCCTTGGACGCCACCTGGGGGAAGAGCAGAGACAGGGCAGCATTACACGAGGGTGGATGTTGGCGGGCCCTCCCTCACTTGCTGCATGCCAGGTATCCTGCGCCCGTAGGGTTGGTGGGCTCACTCTGTTTAACTCTGCTGGGTGACCGTCTCTGCCTCCTGATGGTGCCAGCAGGAGGGTCACGCAGCACGGAGCACAGGCCTAGACTGTCAGGGACGGGAACAAGCAAACAGTGGTGACACCGGCGGCACTGCCACAGCTCTTCCTGCCCCTGAACTGGAGACTCTGGTTTATGCGATGTGTGGCATGTGGGTTAGGATGTGTTGGGCTGCTAGCTGCAGGTCAGCAGTTCAAAGCCACCAGCCGCTCCGAAGGAGAAAGAGGCTTTCTGTTCTTGTAGAAGCTGCTGCCTCGGAAACCCAGGGGCAGTTCTACTCTGCCTTCGGGCGCCCTGAGAACCAGATGTGACCAGATGGCAGCGAGCCTGTTTTTCGGGTTTTGTTGGTTTGAGATCCGTGAGTCACAGCACCCAGCGAGCGGTAAGAACTAGATGTATGCACTTAACCAACACCGTTGGGGAGGGCAAGGGGCATGGGCGGGCACCTACCAGGACACTCAGCACATAGGCCAGCTCCTTCTCTAGGATGTCGGAAAAGACTACATGACTGCAGAAACCGCCAGAGGCCCTGGGGTGTGGGGAGGCTGTGGGGGCCCTCGTTCCCATGACGCATGCTCTCACTCCAGACGCAAGCCATTCAGCCACCATTCCCCCGCCACCAGGGGCGATGGCGTGGGGGCAATGTCCGCTCCTCAGAGAACAAAGGGGCCAGTTTGTCCGTCTTCCCTGCCTCTGAGAAACCCCTGCCCACACTGTACTCACCCCAGGAGAAGGGGAGGACCCACACCCTGGCCTGGGCCAGCAGCTCTCTCCTGCCTTAGCAGCCCCCACGCCCACAGCCAGAGTCAGCTGGGAGGGGATCAGCTCCCTCCCCAGCCCTGGCTCCTCCAATCCCCACCCCCAAGCAGAAACTGCCCCAGTTCCCCACCACTTGAGGATGGAGCTGAGCCTAGGTCTGCTCAGGAAGGGGGCCCTGTCTGGACTTGGTGTGACCCCCCCCCAGGTCTCCTGGCTCCTCACTCTTCCATGCTCGTGTGGGATCATGTCAAACGCTGCCCTATCCTGATGTCCCGGCCACCACGGCTCTTACAGCTGCACTGCAGTGACAGCCCTGCCTGCCATCCCATGGCGTGGAGTCCACCCCTGCCTGGCTGTGCCCTCTCTTGGGTTGCTGGCCTCCCCACCACCTGCGGTCCGCCCACGGCCCCAAAGGGGCTAATTCTGGCCTGCCGAGGTCAGGAAGGGCAGCTTCCTGGCGCACGGGTAATTACACGGGGCTCTGCTGAGAGAAGGTGGCCTCTCTCTTGACCTAGAGGGACCAGGCGACAGCTGCCTCCAAGATACAGCCCTGCCAGGCAGGGCGGTACCGCAGAGGGCAGCATCTTAAACAAGAGCAAGGAAGCAGGGGGGCGCCCAACCAGCTCTACCCCAGACCCAGCCAGGTGTCTGCCCGCTCGGCTCTCGGCCTGCTCCTCTGTAACAGGGGAGTATGATGGCGACACCCCCAAAGACATGTCGCTCAGCATAGGGCCCACCGACAGCACCCTGCGAGTCTCCCAATGAAGCCCCCCGCAGCCGTTTGTAGTGGGGGCAGCATCCCTGATGGGATTCCTATTTTAAAGCCAAGGACAGTGGGTTCACAGGACTTCACCAGGTTGGCCAGTGTCACCCCGCTTCTCAAGGGTGCTGGCGAGGGCTCAGCTCCCTAACAGGCCTACAGCGCCCAGGGACGGCCACCTCCCTTCTCCCTGGGCCCTCGCCCCAGACAGACCGGCCGGGCACTCTGCATGGCTCCGTCCCAGCAGGCCGGGGTCTCCCTCCCCCACATCGCCGTTGACTTGCTCTTCACCCTCTGTTGCTCCGCAGAGCGGACGCTTCCAGTGTCCTGGGAGGCGGGAGCTCCCCCAGGTCAGGAGGGAGGCCCTGCTCTAGGCGAACTACAAGCCAGGGCCCCTCTCACCTCCCGCATCCAGGTGCTGAAGGGCCTCTGCCAGGAGGCAGCCTTCTCCAGGTGGAGGTAGGCGTTGAAGAGAATCAGGTAGATGTAGCGTTCCAGGTACTGCAGGCTCCTCAGATGCAGCCTCCGAGCCTCCTGCTCCCCTTTGGCTGCCTTTCCCTGCGAGAGGGGCAGTGGGAGTAAGCGTGGGGCGGGCTGAATGGGACAGAGAGATGTTACACTCACACCACACACTGGAGGGCACTTCAGAGGTTCACGGGGAAGTGGAACGGAGAGAGAACGGACTTGGTACCGTGCAGAAGGCACTAGAAAGTGGACTCTTGCAGACACAGTGAAAATGTAGCACCGATCATTTGCTCTCCCTTATGATTCATTCAAATTTGTTCTCGTTTTTTCAGTATTTTCTTTCTTTGTTGACTGAGGTTTTTATCTGGTTTACTTTGGTATTGCTGCTGGGATTTCGTTTTTGTTTTGTTTTTAATCATTTTATTGGGGCTCATGGAGTTCTTATCGCAATCCACACATATGTTCATTGTGTCAGCACATGTGTACATTTGCTGCCATCCTCATTTTCAAAACATTTCTTTCTACTTGAGCCCTTGGTATCAGCTCTCCACCCACCCCGCACCTGGTTTTCGGTTCGCATTACTGTTTTTCTCAATGTAATATTCGGGAGAGGTAAACCGACAGACAGGAACGGGACGAAGGGCTCCCTGAGGCTGTGCCCGGGGGAGCTGGGGGGCGATGGAGAGCTAGTGATGACGAGTACAAGGATGAAGGGGGCCGCTCTAAAACCGACTGGCGATGACGGTACAAGTCTACGTGATGTGACTGAGCTACTGAATCATATGGTATGTGAATTCTATCCCAATGAAACTGTGGGGACTAGGAAAAGTAAGAGAGAGTGGAATTTCCCGCACACCCCCTACAGAGCGCACACTCGCACACCACACTGCCCTGAGCACAGACAGAGGTGGGTGGGAGGCAGGCGATTCACACTGCAAGGCCAGGGTGTCGCCCTTCCCTGGGTGCCTGGATGTCAGAAACCCACCCCCCAGGGTGAGGCGCAGGCTGGCCAGTTGTCCTGCCTCCCTGTGCTCACCATGGGACTGTAGCCACCACCCTGGTGTCCCACCCTGAGGGCGGCTGACCCACAGGAAGCTCTGTGCAGAGGAGGTTCTGCCAGGTTCTGACCCCGAGGGAAGACCAGGACTGCCATCTCGCCAAGCCGGGAGGAAACACTGCCCTCATCCCAACCTCTCTCTCTCTCTCTCTCTCTCTCTCTCTCTCTCTCTCTCTCTCTCTCTCTCTCTCTCTCTCGCCAGCTCCTTCGGCTGCCCCCAGGGAGGGTGTGAGGGTCTCCCTGGTGTTCAGAGAAGGCAGCGGGCTGAGCTCTGCCCCTGGCAGGGCATCATATCCCCTCTGTCTCGTCTATGGCCTTGAGCCACTTAGCCTGGGCCCCACTTGGCTCTGACCCCATCAGTCCCTGCCTGCCTTCTCTGCTTCTCACATGGCTCAGAGCTCAAAGGCAGAGAGGCACTGTCTAGCCTGGTGACCTGGCCCCAAGCTGGGGATGTGACAGAAAGGCCCGGAAGACCAAGGGCCAGCTGGCTAGAGAGGAAACTGCTGGGGGAAGGGGATCTCAGGTGTGAGGGGGGATGTGGCTGTGGGAAGGGCGGTCTTGTTCACAAACAAGCTTAACAACTACCGTGAAGGCAGACAAGTCAATCCACCTCTAAGGGGTGGGCAGAGGGTAGGATTCCTGAAAGTCCCCGCAGAGTCACAGAACATGTTGAACAAGAATTCTACAAAAGAATCCTGGTTGGAAAGGGGGTAGGGTAGGGGTGGGGATGCAGAACAGATTTCCCAATTCTCATGGAATCCAGATTCTTCTGCAGTCACTGAGGATGAACCCCAAAATGCCTGCCCTGAGATTTTCCTGAAACCAAGCAACAGCCCAAACCAAACTCACTGCCGCCAAGTCAATTCTGACTCACAGGGACCCTCCGGTCAGGGCAGAGCGTCCCTGAGTTTCCCAGGCTATAACTCTGTACGGGAGTAGAAAGCCCCCATTTCTCAGAGGAGCGGCTGCTGATCTCAAACTGCGGACCTTGCAGTTAGCAGCCACCAGGGCTCCTGAAACCAAACAGCTGAGCTTCATTAATCAAGAATGCCCGCCTGTGCGCGTCTCAGCTTTCCCTCCATGAGATCAAAGGGACTCGTCGAGCGCAGGGCATTTCTGCACCGGGGAAGGGATCACTGGGAGGAGGTGCCTGCGCACGCAGCCAGCTCACCCCCCTGTGTGAAGCGAGCTTACATCCAACTAAGCGGGTCCCCCATCACACTCGAAGTCACTCGTGCAGGTCTGTGTCCTCCGGGAGACGCCACGCTCCCTGAGGGCAGGGGGTGCTCCTCTCCTGTCATCGCTGCTTCCCAGGGTCGCTGGACCAACGCCACAGATCCGTGCACGGAACGGGCCGTTCCCGGAGGGGTTTGTTGGCTCCGTGTGAAGTGACTGCCTTCTCGTACAAGTAGATATTGGATTTGTACAAATTTTTCTTTTTAAAAGATCGTTTTATTGGGGGCTCTGACAGCTCCTTTAACAATCCACACATCAATTGTATCAAGCACATTTGTACATGTGTTGCCATCGGTATTTTCAAAGCATGTTCTTTCTACTTGAGCCCTTGGTATCAGCTCCTCTCCCCACCCCCCATGTTGGATTTGTAATAGTTTTTGAATTAATTTTTCTTCTTAGTTGGTTAAAAACAAAATCAAGCTCTCACAGTCATCTTGGTAACCAGACTGAGCAGCCCAGGAGCCACTGCAGGTTTGGGGGACAAGAGGAGGCTGGGGGAAGTTTATGCTTCCTGGTGCTCCTCTGTGGGCTGGGGGACAGACTGACCAGGCTCTTGGTATGGGGCTTCTCTGCCACCATGCCCAATGTTCCCTGTGCTGCCACCCCACACCCCATGGAGTGTGCGCACGAGTCTTATGCAAACTGCCTCCTCACCCCTGGCCCCCGTGCCTCTGGGAGACAGGCGGCTCATCTCCACAGCAGGGCCACAGCTGGAAACCTTCCACATGGCCCACACATCTGTCCACGTGTCTTCTGCTCAGCTGCTGTGGGAGGGGCTCCAGGTGGGCCCGCCACCCAAATGGGTCATCACCAACAGCCCCGTGTCAGGACCCTCTCCCTCTCTGCCCCAGACAGCACTTCTCTCTCCCCAGAGTTGTGTGAGTGACCAGAAAGTGGCGACAGTCACCACACCATCCGGAAGGGACTCTGGGGGCCTTGGAGATGGAGGGGGCATGGGCAGTGGGCAAGCACCCATCTCAGGGGGACAGGGTCCCACAGCTGGATCTGGTGCTGGTTCGGCCTCGTAGGCTGGCAGCACCCAATTAGGGTGGTAGGATGGCTGAGGTCAGGGAGAGTCGTCACCACATACTGCCACGGATGCCGCCTGCTCAGAATCAACGGAAGAGCAGTATGCCACAGCCTGGGGACGACGGAGAGGGCAAGGCGGGCACAGGGGGTGGTTGGGGAAGGAGAGGGGGGGCCTGGTGGCACAGCATTAAACACCCGGCTGCCGCACAAAACCCTGAGCTGGGAATCCAGGGGCCTGGCGATGGCTCTGGTCAAGCTCAAAGGCTGGTGGGGGGATCTCCAACACATCACACGGAGTGTGGGGAGGCTACTCCTCTGACATGTCACACGGGGTTGGGGGGTGGGGAGGGGCTTCAACATGTCACACAGGGTGGGTAGGGGAATACTCTTAACATGTCACACAGGGTCGGAGGGGAACTCTAATACGTCACATGTGGTTGACATCAAACGAGCCAGAGGCCAAGCGGGACTCTGCTGGCAGAGGGAGACCCGCAGGCAGGAAAGGAGCCAGAGACGGGGGCTGCCATGCAGACAGAGCTGAGGGCAAAGCGGGGCTGAAGCAAGGCCTGCGGACAGGGACTGGGGGCCTGAGGTTGAGAACAGCCCTGCAGGGGGCTGCAGAGAGAATGGGGGTGGGGGTGGGGGGTGGCTTCAGGACCCATCAAGGAAGTACTCAAAAAGACAAGAAAGAAGACGCACTCTTGTTTACCCATTAGTCCACAGACTAAACTGTATCTATTTCTGACTGGGGTCCTACTGTTTGCCTCCTACACAAGCGTCTCCCAGGCAGGGCGGGATGCCACGTGCCTGCCCTGGAGCCGTCACCCCACCCCTGCTGCGCGTGAACAGAGCTGTGCTCCCAGGGACTTCAGTGGTGGTGGTCGGTGGTCTTTCAGAGGAGACTGCCAGGCTTTGCTCCAGAGGCACCTCTGGGTGGACTCGAACCAGCATTGACAGCTAAGCGGGTTACCCCTTTGTACCGCCCAGAGGCCACCCCATCCCTTAGAGTGCTTGCCCAGTCTCCATCCAAAGGCCTGGGGCGGTCTCTAAAGATGGAGAGAACACAGGGAGACCAGTGGCACGCCCACTCGCTAAGAACCAGGCGAGCCGGCCTCGCGGTTAAGGAAAGCTCTCTGCTCTGGGCTGGGCCACACCAGCCCTCTCCGCTCTGTGCCCTCTTTCCCCTCCCCGGAAACGCTGGTGGGGACCCATGGGCGCAGGCTGACCGGTTCCTTCCGAGTCCTGCCGGCAAAGGTAGAATTATCTCTAAATCCAGGCTGCTACAGCCAGGGGACACCTGCCACTCCCTACAATGTCCCGTGCGCTCATCCTGCCTGATCACAGGTCTGCGACATGGGACAACGGCCCATCTTCCTAGCAAGGCCCTGGTTTCCCAAAGTCATCCCATGTCGACACTGCGGAGAAGACCGGTCAGCCTGCTGGCCCGTCGGCAAAAAATAGCAGAGCTGTTTTTAAATGGCCTGGCAGGCCAGACTGTCATTAGCTGTGGTGTGGCTGAACAACGCTTCCTCGTCCATGGGTGCTGAGCCCTAAAATAGAAGGGCCCAGGAGAGGTGGCCAGGGCTCTGAGCCTCGCAAGCCGCTCAACTCTCCAGGTTTCCCAATGAGGGACAGCAGCACTGTCCACGCAGCTCTCTCCAAGCTCTGACCTTTGCTGGGCACCTCAAGGAAAGCTCAGAGGTGGGCAGACTGTAAAGAGAAGGCCTCCTGGGAGCTGGCCCCTGAGAATCAACTGTTAGGCTCTCGTGCA